TCTAACTAACCCCAGGAAACGAAGGTTTCAAAGATGGTGAATTGGTAAACCCATGACATAAGAAAATTATGGTTAATGGTAGCTAAAAACGGATGGGTTTAGTTTTGTAAAAGCGATTGAATAAGTCAAGAGCATTAGGGTCCCTGAGACAAGCATTTTCAAAACTTGCGGAGTTAGAAGATTGACCTTAATGAGAAGTACCACTAGACTTAAGACATTTTATTCTAGGAGGTATTTTTGATCAAAACAGTGTGTATGACAAAAGGAATTTTGGTTTGAGAATTTTATCGAACACTTAGAGGACGAACCTAAAACAAAGATTCTAAGAAAAAAATTGGTGAATGAGTTAACCTCCTGCAATGAAAACATATATAATACAACCCAATAAACCAATCAATATCTTCAAATTTGTTCAAAATAGCATAAACATAAAAAAATTAAACCCTATTTAAACCATTTTGAAAAAGTTTTTGAGTGGTAATCATGAAGAGTGGACAATAAGATAGTGTTCAAATGGTATTTGAGCTATCTAGAAATCAAAACTATCTTAAAAACATGATTAATACGAAATATTGTGCATGAAATTCGAAAATAAAGAAAGTGGGTTTAAAAGAGATTACCTCAAATTTTGTTGAAAATTTTTGATGAAGTTGATGCAAATCCACTAAGGTTGATGAAGGAATGAAGAAATCGGAAAGAATTTGCATTCAATCAGAGTGAATATGAGGAATTTTTAGAGAGGTCTCGATTTAGGGTTTTAAAGTTTAATAAAAATGATGATTTTATGGGAAAATGGGGTTTTAGCATTTAGAGGCCCCGGTCTCGATACTGAGACAAACAGTCTCGAGATTCCCTACCCAATATCATTACTCTAAGGCAATATCAATACCAATTTTGGCTACTAGAATTTCGGTATCGATACTAGAAGCTTGAAATTGTCAAATTTGACATTTTTAACCCTCAAAAGCTTCTAGAATAAGTACCTAATGATTTTAAGACTATAGAATGTACTAGAACTTTATTTAAGCACTGAAAATATGATTTGATACTAAATTAAAGTGTTTTGCTAGGTATTTTACTAAAGCGTATAGTATGGACTTTTTGAATAATTAACTAGCTAGATCAAACAAGGTCCAAAACATTCCACAAGAAATAATTTAAGGTCAAAAGATATCAAATTAAGCATATAAAGCCACAAAGATACCATTCATGTAATATAAACCCCCTAACTAATTACAATTAAGCACTATGTGGGGACACACAATCAAGCACAAAAACATATAAAGTCATTTAGAAGCATAATATTGCATTAAAATGAAATATTTTACCATTGAATTAAGATTGATTTGTAAATCTCCCTTTCTTCAAGTTCCCTTCCTTAGTGTGTCTATAGCCTCCAAATACCTTGAAATTGCTCACCATTTCTCCAATACACCTACAATAGACAATTATGCGCAACTTTTGGTACATAAATCTTTTTGGGTCTATTGATGTTAGTTTCAAACAATTTATCTCATTGTGTATCCATAGAGATAGATATCCATTTTTTGTAGTAATAAGTCATTTAGGGACCCATATACTCTTAACCATTTTTACGTTAAAAATTTTAGGGGAATAAGCATGTTTATTGTAAAAGCCATTTTTGACAAAATTTGATTTGGAGCAATCTCCTCTTTTAAATTTATTTTTAATAATTTTGTCAAAATTAACCTTTTCTTTCTCAAGATCATCAACTTTCCTTTGATGATCCTCATGAACTTTAGAAAGCAAATTTTGCAAGTCTAAATTATTTTTCTCAAAAATATTTAATATTTAACTTTGCTTTCAAGTTCGCTATTATTCTTAGAAAGTGAGTCATTTTCAGTTTCCAATTTTGAATAAATCCTTTTTGTGTTTTGAAATCATGATTTCACATTCGAACACTAATTCATCATAGACATCTTGTTACTCGTTAAATGTATAAGAATTTGAATTGGATGAGTTAGAAGATACCTTTGAATCTTCTTGGATGACCATGAGGTAAAGGTTGGCTACTGCATCATTTTCATCATCGGTGACGTCTTCATACCTTAATGCAGGAACAAAAGTCTTCTTCTTTGGCTTGCTAGATCTTTTCTTCTTTAAATGAGGACAATCATAATTGATGTGTCTCAATTTTTGGAAATGGTAGCATATAATAGGATTTTTCTCCTTCTTCGATTCATGTTTCATCTCATTTTCTTTGGATTACATGAATCGTTTGAATCTTTTAAAGAACTTGGCCATCTCTTCATTTTCTTCATCCGCCTCTTCACTTAAATCCTCTTTATCTTCATTGATGAACTTGAGAGCGATGCCAATATCCTTTTTCTTCTTCCTCTTCTTTCTCTCTTTTTTTTATTTTATTTGAAGCCTCATCTCATGAGTAATAAATGATTTAATGCGCTCATCAAGGGTTTATAACTCTAAATCCTTGGCTTCTTCGATGGTAATAGCTTTGCCTTCCCAAGATGTCGATAATGGGGCAAACATCTTTCTCACTACTTCTTTATTGGGATATACCTTCCCAAAGTTCTTCATCTCGTTGATTATTAAAGTAACCGATCAGACATCATCTTTATGTCTTTATCGTGTTTCACCTTGAAGTTCTCGCAGTTGAGAGTGAGAATGTCAATCTTGGAATTTTTGACTTGGCTTATTCCTTCATGAGTGACTTCAAGCTTGTCCCAAATTTCTTTAGAATTAGAGCATGAGAACACTCTACTATACTTATCAGGGCCAAGTGTATAAAAGAGAACGTGCATGGCTTTGGCATTGAGTTAAGCTAGCTTTCTATCTTCGTTGGTCTATTTAGACTTGTTTTGTGGAGGAGTAGGTGAACCATCAATGATGACATCTCAAACCAAGTAATCGGTATCTTGAACAAACAACATCATCCTATTCTTCCAATATGAATAATTTGCACCATTGAAGTATGGTGGTCTTGCAACGGATTAAGAGTCTTCAACATTGTAGGAGCCGGAAATTTAAGTCATCTTTAACTGTTGATTTATAGAATTTGATAAAGCTCTCCTAGGACCTACTCAAGATTGTTAAACCATTGATAGATACCCACTTTGATATCAATTGTTAACTTTATTGATCAACCGAAAAAATGCCAAGAGGGGGTGAATTGGCCTTTGAAAATTTTATGGTGGAATAAATCGAAAATAAAACTTTGCAAAAAGAATTTAGAGTGGTTCGACTTCTAAACCAAGTCTACATCCACTATCTTAGCATATACACTAAGGATTTTTCAAATCCAATAGATTTGTAAACATTTGAGGACAAGGTGTAACCTTACAAACATTTCAAGGTTTATGCCATAAAACCTTGAATACACACTCTCCCAGACAGTAATTACAAATTTAACAAACAAAAGAAAAACTTCACAAAGGCAAATGTGTTTGCACAAATTAATCACTCACCCAAAATCACACTTGAGCAAATTTAACAATGTAGCTCACAAGTGTGTTACAAAGAATTTGACAATTTTTTCTCTAAAAGTATATTAATGATGGTTTGATCTTGCAATTGACTTTCTTGTTGTTCTTCTCTTGAATCTTGGTCCCTTTTATGTCTTCTAACATCAATCTAGCCGTTTGGAGCCATTGGGGATTGAATAGAGCCGTTGGATTAATTAATTTTGAGCCTACACATTTGGTATCGATATCAGGATGTTAGTATCGAGATCGAGCCTCACAACAGTCAAATTTATAGCCGTTGAACCATCAATATCGATATTGTTTGTGTGAGTATCGATACTCACCAACCCGTCTTGATACCAATGTCATGGCATTGTTACCAAAAAGCCTTATGGAATTTTGGTATCGAGACTGACATACTGGTTCGAGACTGTAAGAGGTTTAGCTAAAAATCAAGTGTTTTGAGCTTTAAAACAATATTTATAAAATGAGAATTTACTCAATAAGATTTGTGATTATTTTTCACACTTAAAAACGCTTTAAAATCGTTTATGACAAATTATTTATAAAACATGAAACACAAATTTTAACAACTTAAAACATTTAAGAATCATGTTATATCATAATCAAAAGTTAGTTCAACACTATACTTTTAACAATTAAAGAACATATTTTAACACTATAAAAACAAAAATCCTTAAAATTTTAAATATATTATAAATAAAAAAAGGGTAAAATAATAATTTATATCAGGTCAGATCGGATCATTGATTTTTCACCTTAAGCTCAGGTCTGCCCGTCCAAAACTGTTTATTATATAATTTGCCTCACCTCGAACCCGAAATAAAAAATACCACTTTAAACTCGAGTCGGGTCGGATCACATCATGTTCAAGTAGTTTGACAATCCTTATGTTCTAGGTGTATATAAAATTATAAATAAACAAAATTTTTAATTAACATAAGAACATTGGATAGTTCTGTCATACGATAACTTAATTTAATGTTAAGAAATGACAGAAAATCGATGCGACTAAAAAATATTATAAAAATATAATATTTTCCGTTGGGTGCAACATAAAATGTAAATTTTTTTTAAATTTTTTTAACATTTTCGATTGAACATGTTATGAGGAAGTAATCATTAACTGGAAGACATTAGAGGGAAGATGTGAACCACTCACACTTATTAGGGATTAGATGATATAGTAAATATCAGAAGCATGGGCCCTGGGGGTATGCATTATTTGTTTCCTCACTGTGCTTTTGGTCCTTGGATTCCTTTAATATTCCCAGCTTGAAGCCGTGGATTCTTGATAATAAAGGCAAATCTGTGGTGGGAAAAAGGGCAACAAGGTTTCGCATCACTTCTCTTTGTCTTTTCTCAAGTATATTTCTTCATGATTTTCTTTTAGTTTTTAATTTCCTTTGTTTGAACGGCAGACCCACACCCACGCTGAAGCTATTGTCCCTGGTTGATATTAAGGAGTTAACCTTTTGAAAAACAAGCATTCATCATGTGGAGGTTCTGGTGTAGTCCGTCTATGTACATATTTTATTCTGGTAAATAAAAACCAGCAACAAGTCTGATATTATTCATAAGGCAGTCAATCTCAGGTATTACAACTTGATGTTGATGACAGATTACAAACGAAAATCCCCCATTTCTGGAAAACAAAGCAGATCATTATGCAGGATGGTATTTGTCATAAAATGCTTGGTACTTGATGATCATCTTGTCATGAGGAGGCCATGTGTCTTTAATCACAGGCACTTCATAAAACTCTTTCATCCAACCCAACAACAACGGATATCTCTCATCAACTATTTTCAAGCCAGTCACCTCTTCAAAGACGCCGATCAAGTTCGCAAGCCAACCCAGAACAAGATCCGCCAGTCCCACCTTCTCTCCGCCGAAGAATTTCTTTCCCTTCAGCTCTTCCTCGACAAACTTCAGATTCTCCACCGATGCCGCCATAGCTTCCTCTCGTTCTTTCCCTTCTTTGGTGAAAACAGCCCATATTGTTGGCAAAAGCTGCAACAAAAACAAAACAAACCAGATGTTCATCAACATTTTCATTAAAAACCAGTGCATTATTCATAGAAGAATTGAACATCTTTTACCTTTTCGTCATTGAACTTGGCCCAAAACCTTTCCCTGGCTCTCTCAAAAGGATCTTCGGGTAATATCGGATTGTGCTTCCAAGTCTCATCAATGTATTCAAGGATCACAAGTGATTCCGAGATTGGGTTCCCGTTGTGAACAAGAACCGGGACTTTCTTGTACACGGGATTGTATTGAAGAAGAAGAGCACTCTTGTTGGATAGATCTTCATCCACTGCTTCGTACCCTATGCCTTTGAGCTTCAATGCCTGAACAACCCTTAAACCAAAAGGGGTTGACCATGTCTTCAAAAGCTTCACTTCTTCCATATTTGTTTGCTATGTAATACTGTCAAACAAGGTAATAATATATAGATACTAGATAATTGCACACTTTTGTGGGAGAAAGAAAAAAATGGTAAATTGGGAAAAAATTGACATATGACATTTGAGATTATGGTTATCTTTTTTAGAATTTTAATAGTAAGATATAATAAAAATTGAAAAGAGAATAAAGATGGGAAATTAGATTATAACCCATTTTAATATAGGGTAAAGTATACAAATGGTCCCCTGACTATATGATAATACTTTATTAAGTTCTTCAACTATTAAAAATTATAAAATAGTCCCCCAACTATAAAGTGTTGCTTCCTTGAGTCTATCGACTATCAAAAGTTACAAAACGATAACTTGACTATTCATTATGTTCCAAATACATCATTTTTCGTTAAAAAATCGACAGTTGTCTAAGTTAGACGTTAACATGATGACTGAAATATGATAGTTGTTTGAGATTTTATGATCATATTTTATCATATCATAATTAACATGTTAACATTCAGCTCAAAATATCGTCAATTTTTTTAATGGAGAATGACGAGTTTGAAACATAATGAACAACTAGGTGTTCATTTTGTAACTTTTAATAGTCGAATGACTCAACAAAACAACACTTTATAGTCAGATGACTATCTTATAACTTTTAATAGCCAAGGGACTTAATAAAATAATATCTTATAGTCGGGGAACCATTATGTACTTTACCCTTTAATATATGGTAGTAAACTGTGTGAGAAAAGAACTAAAAAGAAAGAGAAGAAAATATGATATTCTCTTTTGAAAATTTTGGACAGGTTGTTATGGTCGGTCCCATGGGGGCTCTTATTACTATTTATTTAACGTCGACCAATAAACCAAATGCGATACGACACCAATATATTAAAAATAATTAAAATATGTAATAGTAATATATAAAAATCAGATTAATATATGGTAAATTACATCATTAATCATTTTACTTTAAGTGATGCCTCGTTTTGGTCACTGAACTATTAAAATTTTCAATTAGGACACTAACTTTTTTAATTGGGTTTTTTGCTCATCAGGCCGTTAAAGCAACGTGATGATGTGCTTGTTATCTTTCTTTCTTTCTTTTGTAAAAAAATCTTAAACTCCTCCAACCGTTATCATTGGTTGATAGTTGCCCATTATTAATAGTCATTTGCGATAAAATAAATGCAAAATGTTTACATTTCTCTTCTTTCTTCTTCCATGTTTAATTTTTTTTTTTTTTGAAATTCACTTAAAATCAACGAAAATTCATTCAAAGTTTTGGCATTTTAATACTCTAATCACTTTTGACAATTGTTTGATGAGGTTAGTTTTGAAATATGTTGTTTGTCTTCTTAAAAAATATTTCCCATGATAGATTTGTATGTTTAATTTCATGAGTTTTAAAGAGATTTTAGAAAAATTTTACAATGATGAGGCGAATTCGACGTTATCTAGGAGATGATGAGGTGAAAAAAAGAAAAATATCACGTCAAATAAAATGAATAAAAATATTTTTTTACTTAAAATTCAACACATGTCAAAAAAATATCATGTCATTCGATTAATAATTTAACGCTTCAATAACAAAAAAAATAATTAAAAAATATAGGGTTATAGTTATTTTTTTATATAATTTAATGATCAAAATGAATACAACATCTAAAGTTTAATGATTAGTGGTTTAATTTAATTTAATGTATAACATCTTAGATATAGTTATATCGTGCATACAAAATTTACTGCAATATATAATATCTTAAATATGAATGACTTTACAACGTTACACACCGATAATTACTATTAATACCATATATTATTATAAAACACAAATATAAAATTCACAAACGGTTACTGAACTACTATCACAAATTATGTATATCTCATTTATCATTCAATAAATAATATAATAATCAATACTTGATGTGACATAAATATTAAATAAATTAATATATTATAATAAATAATCACGTCCTTTGATCATGGACAACAACAATTATATTCCTTAATTATTAGAATTCAAATCAAACTAGAACTAATAAAAGAAGCATAATGGATTAGCCCCCAAAAAAATTCATGGAGAATGAAATATGAGAACATATAATCTTTTGGGATCCCAGAAAGTTATGAGAGAAGGAAATATGAGACCATGTTCAATGTAGATAAAAATATAAGAAGAAACATAACTGATTCGTGGAAATTATTATATTAAAGAAATAGAGTGGATGACATAAATTAACTTACCTCAATAGTTAAAAGAATCGATGTTATTCTTAAAAGTCAAAGGTGAATTAACACCTTTGAATATGTGATGAAGATATAAAATTGAAAGAAATAAAAGAAGACAAAGGAAATAATTAGTACTAATATAATAATCAACAAAATAGTAAGAATTATTATGGAAGGATACATCCTACCCGACATGTTGTCTACTCAAAAATGGTTCATTAAAGTAGATCCTACATGTACATGATTTCTAACTCATATGCTTTGTTTGCAACATAAATCATAACCTCATGTCATCTCATTTATATGCTTATTCAAAAAAAAATCTAACCGCATAATTTCTAGTTCTCATACTTGTTCAGAAAAAAAAATTTAACCGCATGCTTTCTAGATTACTCTAATAAAATTAAAAGCGCATAAAAATCTTTTCCTTGTGTGTTCTTCTCACAGAACTTCTAAGGTTAGGCTAAGCTCTACCTAGGTTCGATTCTTGAGTTCAATATATGCTGAGTTTAGTTCTAGAGTAACAGGTTCATTTGGATTTAGTTCAATTCAAGGGGACACGTCTCTTTATGTCCGCACGTAAGTGAAAATCATCACAAAGACAATAAGGCGTGTGTCATGGAAGCGATATGCTATCCTACACAATGGTGAAAACCATTACGAAGGTATAACTTCTCACTCTCACTTAAATGAGAAGAGCGATGTTTTAGCTAATTTCATGATAATGCAAGTGCACAATGTGTGAGGAAAAGCGAAAAACACAATCAAACAACACAAAGCTGAGTTCTCAATTCCCTTAAAATTATTGAATCTAAAAAAATAAAAAACCCAATTATTTAGTATAACCATTACGAAGGTATAACTTCTCACTCTCACTTAAATGAGAAGAGCGATGTTTTAGCTAATTTCATGATAATGCAAGTGCACAATGTGTGAGGAAAAGCGAAAAACACAATCAAGCAACACAAAACTGAGTTCTCAATTCCCTTAAAATTATTGAATCTAAAAAAATAAAAAACCCAATTATTTAGTAATTAATCAAATTGTCAGCACAAATTTATTTTAATTAAACAAGTGATCAAAAATTAAATTAAAACGAATTTGTAATTTTCATTGCAAAGACAACTAACTATTCCACTAATGGTATGACTCTCTAAATGTCCCAACGAAGTTGCCAAGTTGTGGAAATGATCTAAAAATTGGATTTAAAAGCTCAATTAATTTAATTTAGGGTTTTCTATTAACATAAAAAATTGATTTAAATGTGATTGAGAACCTAAAAAAGTTGTCATTTTAATGAATATATTTTTAAATATTATTAAAACAACAATTTAAGGTTTGCGTACCAAAAATTAATTTCAGAAGTCAATTACGTGTGAGGAAAAGTAGCACCTCACAACGCCCTAAATCAATACTTAGTCGATTAATTAGTTATCTCTGTAGTGAAACTTACATATTCAAATTCAGTTAATTATAGATCCATTTTAACACATGAAAATTGTTAGCCTTCGAATTTAGAAATGGAAAAGAATTATATTTAACTGTTTTCCATCAAAAAGAAAATGTCTCTCATGCTTTAAACCAATCAATTCTATTTCCAATCAAATAAAATTACATATTCTCTTTCATAAAATCGTTATTAGTCCATATTTCAAATGCATGCACGAATAAAAAATAATAGAAAGAATAAATTAACTATAAATTACCAATCCTTTTAGGAAAAAAAATGATGTTCGATTATTTAAAGACATCAAAATTGAATATTTTATGCATTCTACTGATATTTACTCGATAAGTTTAAATAGACGAACATTTTTTTCTCTTGTACTCAAATTTTATGTGAGATCATATTTTAAGGTTTCACTTAACAGATGCCCTATCATTTTAAAAATCATCGAAAAAGACTTTTTTATTCTTTAAGACAATCGTTTCACAACAATTAGAAATTGAAAGGGTATTATCCTTAGTCTAATTATTCGATTGAATAAAGTTATGCTTATGAGGACATACATATCATGCGAAAATGATGTCATATGACCAAATTTATGTAAACAAATACGTTTAAACTAACCTTTATATATATATATATACGTATGTATATTAGAAAACAGTTTGGCGTACAATATAGGATAAAACGTATATATACATATAGGATGAAAAGCATGTTCAACGTACGAATATAAGTAAGTGCTTATATATATATAAGGCATAAAATAAGCAAATGGCACAATGATTAAGATAACCAAACAGCCCATGTACAATCTAAGTAAACTAAATACAAGGGTTAGAAAATACCAGTAGCAAAGGTACAAATTCCAGCAAGCAAGTCTAAGGCTAAATCAACCACACGTGGAACAGGGCAAATTAAAATGAATACAAGTTGCAAAGCTTAAATAGGTAAGTTCAAAATGTAAAAAGCCTAAGCATAAATTGCATAAAATAGAGGGCGTAAATATAAATATTAAAAGCATATGGGCATAAATGTAAAAGAACATAAGATTAAATAAACAATACAAAATGTCATCACCAATTTTATCCGGACGGTGACACATACGTGTGACACTTTATAATATATAATATGTAGTATAATAATGCGGGCATAATATATAGTGTATATAGTATAGTTTGCATGGTAGTTGTATTAATTAGTATGATAAATAATAATTGCATGTGCATATTTGGTACATTGCATGTTTCATGGTACATTGCATATTATTAGTATTTTAATTCATATTGCATTTCATGTTTCATTGCATGTTATATTAGTATGTATATACTATATAGTTTTAAATAGTTAGTTTCATTGTATTTTATGTATTTATTTATACATGCTTTGCATTTTATCTATATTTTTAATTTTCTGACTGTC